ATGATGCCTGGGAAAGTTATCTGTGTCTGTCTCTGACTAAACTGTCGCATCCACAAGCCATTGTTTTTTTATTTACCTGGCATTTTGTGTTATATTGTTCTGGTGTGAGTGTAGGTGCGTGGGGGGGTGTCCTAGGTTACAATATTAAGATATATTCTATTCCCATCCTCAAGAGCTGCTGAAACCAGGAGGGGCATTGTTTCTTCCTTATCTCCTGTTTATGGGCCCATCAATACCTTTCCACATGACTCAGAGATAACTCCCTCCAGGAGCCATTTCTGTTTAATGGACCCACCACATGACTCACAGAATGATAACAGCCCATTGTGAGATGCTCCGCCCATGGGGGAGGAGCTAAGCATCCCCACCTGGATATAATCTAGGATTTGGGACAGAACAGTCAGTCTTTTCCACTGGATTTCCAGAGGAGTGGTTGTCTTTTCCACTGGATCTTCAGAGGAAGACTACACCCTTTCTACAGGATCCCTGCTCAAACAGAACCACATCTGCCAGTCCAGGAGGACTGCAGCCACCAATCCAACTGGACTGCTACCAACACCCTGACAAACAGGGTGTCAGGTTTTATTCTGACTTTGTCAGTGGTTTTTCTTTTGTATTATTGCATGTATTTTGGTTTTCTTTTCCCTTTTCCTAATAAATTGTATTTCTGACTTGGAGTCTCTCACTGGTTTTGCTTTCAAACCAGAACAGGGGGCAAGGTCTGACGGTTCAATATCTAGCATTTATTCACCATTTTTTCCTGTGCTGTGTTGGCACTCTGTCAATAAACAGTTCGGGTTTTCTGCTTTCATCCACTAGTGTTAATCTCTCATTGGCAGAAAGGGATTGTTGGAACCTGATGCCTGAAAGATAGGCTGGAAATAAAACCTCAGAGACCAGTGTCTATAGAGCAGGTATTTGTTAATTGCAGCACTGGAGGTGAGGGGCATTTATCCTCCTAACTCACTCACCTTTGTCAAGTGCTCTGGTATATTTATAGAGTAAGCATTGTTTAGTGTTGCTATGTCACTATAACATCATCACATATGCACCAGGACTAATTTACATAGTATGATTTCATGGTTATTAGATAGTTCTTTTGCACTGCACTTGCGCCTCCCCAATTTGGGGGTCGTCGGGGATCTTTGATGAAGTCTTCCAAAGTCTTCTTTGTGGGAACCCAGGAAATTCCTCTGGTTGCCCTGGAGGATGCAAGACCCTGTCAGGGGATTTGGAGACCTTGGCACAGAGCCCAAGACCCCTGTGCCTTTGATTTAGCCCTTGGAAAAAACAATTACCAACCTTATATGAAGAATTACAAGCCATGAAAGTTTAAGTAGAATGATAGTGAATTTATCACAGGGTGAAAAATAGATTTTTGAGGTTTTTAGAATGGGGGTTCAGGGGGCAAGATGGAGGAATCTGGGCGTGTCCAGCCTTCCTCCTTCTTCTTGGCTTCCATCTTCTGCTGTGATGTTGGCACTTTCAGATTGGTTTAGAGTAGAAGCTCACTGTCTAACATAGATGATAGGTATGGGAAAGTAATTGCAAATATTGTACACGTGGTTTTTAGTATAAAAAGATAACACCGCCCCGGGGGCAGGCAGAGTGCCTCTGACTGTCTTGCTGAGCAGACCTCAGCAGGTCAGGAGAAAGAATTTTATAGATAAGATACAATAAACAACCTTGAGACCGAGAAATGAAGAGTTCTGGCTCCTTCTTCGACCGCCAGGCTGAGAAAAGAGACTTTCTAACATATCTCGGGGTCACTGACCACCTAGAGACCCCGAGACACTTCTTAGCATCTGAACTTTTCAACTTTGTCTTTGGAGCATGTGCAGTTATGGTGTTCCTTGGTCTGTCTTGTCTTAACTGGCCTAAATTCTTTATTTTGTGGCTAATTTGATGCCTTAAGTTTTAGCTTTCATATTTTTCAGATTCTGTGCTGCATTGGTGTGTAGTTCTGAGCTTCATATTAAGAAAGTTCTCTTCACAGGGTAGGTAGATGAAACAGTCCTTTTCCAGCTTGAGAACCAAGGACTATCAGAACTCAGTACATCCCTTCAGGTGTCCAGAGTTGCCAAGGACCCCGCTGGGGGGCTCGGAGACCTTGGCATGCTGCCCAGAACACCTGGGGATTTGATTTTGACTGTTGGAGCAAGTTGCCAACTTTGTACGAGGACATGAAAGTCACACAGGTTTGAATAGTGTAATAACAAAAGGATCACAGGGTGAAAATGTAGATTTTAGGATTTTTGGTATGGGGGTTATGGGGACAAGATGGAGGAATCTGGGCGTGTCTAGCCTTTCTCCTTCTTGTTCTCCATTTTCTGCAGTGATGTTGGCACTTTGGGATTGGTTTAGAGTAGAAGTGCACTGTCTAACATTGGTGATAGGTATTGGGAATTAAGTGTAAATATGATATACGTAGTTTGTAGTATAAAAGGACAACACTGCCTTGGGGGCGGTCAGAGTGCTCGTGGCTGCCCTGCAGAGCGGACCTCCACTGGGCAGAAAGAAAATTTTATAGATAAGAATTAATAAACAACCTCAAGACCGAAAAGTGAAGAGTCCAGACTCGTTCTCGTTGCACAAGCCTAAGCAGAGACATCCTACTCATCTTGGGGCAGCAATTATCAACAGCTACCCGAGAAAGGACAACCATTACAAGCTTCAGGTCTAAAAAGCATAAAAAATGGTGAACTGAAGAGAGCAAACAAGGAGGATGGGACTTCATAATCTGAAGCTGTAATTGGACAATTAACCCCAGTATGCAAATGGACCAAAACTTATAAAAGTGTGAAACCTTGTGACCGGTCATCCATCTTGTGACCATCTTGGGTCCATTTTGGGTGTAGCCCTGGCCAGGCTGTTGTACTGCCCAAGGTGTATAATTTTAAGGCCTTTTAATAAATACCTATTTTATTCTTTAGCTCATTCTAGTCTCTTTTCTAGGTCAGCCTCTCCAGGCATCAAATTGGCTTTACATTTCCCAATTTCTCATTAGTACTATACTTATCTACCTCTGAAATTATCCTCCTGGTGAGTTTTTTTTCTTTTTTCTATCTATTCAGCATTAAGCAACTAGTTAACCATATACTAGCCATTACATTGTATAAAAAGTTATTTATATCAGGTTATATAGGTATAAAAAAGTTATGATTCAGGTTATATAGGTATAAAAAGCTATGATTCGGGTTATATTGATATCAGTTTATATAGATATATTAAGTTATATTGATATTTTATAACTCAACCTATATAAGCACTTTGTAACTTTGACCTAAGTTATATAGGCATAAACCCCTTTTTTTTAGAGGAAACACTCATTCCAGAGCATTTTATCCTAAACTTGTCTATAAACTGAGACAGGATTGATGTTGCTATAGTTGAAATCTGTATTCTCTGATTATGGACTTAATCTCAGGATATTCCTGTGCAATACTCTACAGTGCAACCCATAAGTGTGGTCTGGGCAACAAAAATAGATTTGTAGTAATTCCATTTGTTTGGGATTTTTTTGATTGCTTTTAAGTATATTTAAATACTTTGTTGTTTTGTTTTTGGGGTTTTTTTTGGGGGGGGGGTGATTTTTGTCAACTGTAAATTCAGGAAGCTGAAAACTGCTTCACCCTTCAAGGCAACAAGGTGTTTTAGCATAGATCAAAGCTTTCAGTGAGTCTTAGAGCAACTCATGCCTGTGTCCTGACAAAAAGACTTACTGAAGTCTTAATACAGTTTGAATTATATATATTTGTTTTTAAGGACAAGACAGTGTTTTCCCCCAAGTTTGCATTAGCTCTGCATAGCAGCTGTCAAAAGAAAAATCCCCTTTGGTCTGTCTTATGATTCAGGAAAACAGTAACTGTTAACATCATGCAGGTATGAAGGCCCCATTCTATGTATTCACTACCATAAGTAAATTTTTATTGTGTAGTATATTTCTTTCTATCAGACCACAGTAAATGGAGAAGAGGCAAATTACCAAAAACTCCTCTAAGATATAATTGCATTTTATCCATGTCCAATGTCAATACTTTAAAAGTCATTAGAAAAATCATGTAGAGAAATGCACTTGAATTTGCAGGCATGCTGAGAGATTGTCTTGGAAAACTGAATTGCTCATTTATTTTATATTTTAATTATTCTAATGCTGCTTCACTGCATATAGAACCAATTTATGAGTGAATATAAGTAGTCACAGCAATATGCACAGACCAATAAAAAAGGAACAAGTGTTAGAGATCTGTGTCATGTATCTGAAATGTTTTTGTTTTAGAGGACAGAAATCAAGATAAGCTTGTCTGAGTCCTATTCAAGTAATTCCAACCCATCAAAGAAATGGGCTAGAAGAATTCAAGTGCTGTATTAGTTTTTTAAATCTCCATTCTCGCTGATTCAGTAACAGTGTAGATATGATCTTTAAAACAGGTTCTATTGCAAAGCCTGTCTCTTAAGATTCCATCCCCCCGCCCAGTTGATGCAATTTTAGCTCACATGTGCTACCTGACAGGAAATGTCATTTACAAGACTTAGTAAAAAGTTGCTGAAATCTGCCTCTGTCCTTCCTGTCCTCTTTGATACCCCTAAGAATCACATTCTGCATGTGGCTCTGGGCTTGCATGGATGAATAGTAGGGAAACAACTGTTTCTCATGTAGGATGTCTCAGTCTTCAGAGGCTTTTTAGAAAGTAAGATTTCACTAGAAAGCTGTTACCTTCTATTTCATTGGGGTTTTTTCTTTTAGTTGTGATGGAAGACATTCTTAAATGTTCAGAAAGATGTGTGGTGTTTCTTTTAAGGTCTGTTGTAAAACTTGTCAGGATAGTCTTCTGGGGAGCATGGTCCTATACAACAAATTTGTACAGAAGAGTTCTAGAAGTAAATATTCATTTCTGAAATCAGAGGCCTTTTGAAAAGTGTAACTCAGATGTGTTTACAAAATCAAACCCTTTCCAAAGTGTAAAAGAACTTTCACAGAAGTAAATTCTCATTTGTAGTTCATTTAACAGCTTAATTTATTAAACACAGTATGTAAAATCTACATTGTTGTTTCACTTTAAATGTTTACACACAGGAATATTTTTAACCACAAAGCAACAGGAGCTTCCCAAACCCTGCCTTTCTATGGGACGCACAAATATTAAATGCTACAAGAATTCCTGGCTCATTAAACTCTCTTTTCATTGCCTTCCCTTTATTTCCCTCCAAGCCTGGCACAAACTAACAGGCTTGAATTACAAAAGTAATTTTTAAACAGTTCCGAGGGAAAGTCTGTTGATATGAACTCCTGGGAATGGGGAGAACTCCTAGAGAGGTCTACAATTCTTCATTTGGCAAGAAGTTCTTACACAAAAGGTTCTTATTTTTTGCATACTGACTTGCAAAAATAATTTGAGTGCCACCACCTAAATAGTGCTGATACCCATGGTGCCATTTGTGAGATTTCAGGTACTTATTGGATTTCTATTAGTACTAGGTAGAGGTATTGTGAAAATACTCAAATGATGAAATTTCACCTCACTTTTCAGCTGCTGGCAATGTACAAAGAGAAAAATAGGCATTAACTACTTTTTTTTTTTTAAAGAATCAGAGCTACTTAAACTATTTGCAAACTACAGTTAATGTACATGTAAGCTCGTCATGCATCAAAAGCCAAATTTTAGCAATATGTGAAAGGTCAATATGTATTTCTTTAACTGGATCCCTGAATTTTGACATTTAGCCTATCCATATGCAGAGGTCAGATGGTACCTTTATTCTGACAGCATTATCACACCATATCACACACTGTATATCTATCTGTATTACTCTGAGATCCAACTCTACTCAGTACCTAAATATTACCCTTTGTTATACATCAACCAGTGTATTTTTTGTTTGATTTTGCCTGTTTTGTGTTTTCTTTTTTAATTACATGTTATAATTATACAACTATTCTTTATGGTATGCAAATAAACCTAAATTTCAGATTTTTTACAACCAGGATGGAATGTCCAGCTGTATGTTCACTCTAACAGCTCTTGCAGTTCCTGTTTGAAGGATATGGCACATGCTGGGAAATGCACTAGCCACCAAAAAAAGTCTCAAAACACATTAAAAATATATACACACTAAAAGCAATTTATAATGACAAATATGAATGTTGTTTATTAAGGATGTGCTTCAGAAAGAGGCTATTCAGGGTTAAGTAGCCTTCATCAAGGCACAGAATGGGAAGAAGTAAGCACAGCTGTCTGTAGAAGATATGTAAAACCACTAGTTAGGTACACATGGAGCAAAGACAATTTCAAACTGCAAAACTGGTCTTTATAACAAAACTGAACATAGTTAAATGGAAATACTGTGACTTTTCAATTGTCACAGTTCTACTTCATTACTAAAAACATGGCAAATATTTCCAAACATAAAATTTACAATTTGAATAAATGAAATACTTTAAACAAATTGCTTCACAGGTCTGAACCCTGCATGGTTGTACTGTTTGGTCTAGAAGCATTTTGTAGACATCATAGGAGCATTTCACATAAAACTTAAAATATAATTCAGATGAGTAATAAACAGGACATTTCTAACATTTTTACACTTTCAAGTAGTTGAGTTCTTCCAACCACTGGGTTTTGTAACAAATGTGTCTTACAGCAGTACAGGTTCATAGATTCCTTTAGCAGCAGAGGTCTCCTTTCAAAGGGCACGTGGTCTTTTTGGGTTGATCTGTTTACTGGCCTGTTCCTCCTCTTGCAGAGCTGCCCGGAAAGATTTCACTTTATCTTTAATGAAAAAGAGAGAATGAGTACTAATATGCCTGTGTTCAACACAGATCCTGAAACTAAGGCCTGATGCCCCACATACTGGCCCTAATGCAAAACAAAGAACACTCCTCCACAAAAATAGCTGAAGATACAAACTACAAGAGGATTGAGATAAGCTTAAATTTAATACTTACCATACAAACAAATTGTTTAACAACTTAGTCCCTTCTTAGATGCTACCCCTGTGTCCTGGTTTAGGGCAATTTTGGGAGAAAAAACCTCTAAAGGGGTTTCCTCTAGAAAAGCAAATTCAAGTGGCCCCTCTCCCAACTGGTTTGGGAAAAAGATTTCCTTGGAGAAAAGTGGAAAAAACTGTTTATTTAACAGGCAAAGCATTCACCAGCACAAAAAAACCCCTGAACAATATTAAACAATAAAACCTCTTGCTGCTCCGAAAGAGATGACAAACTCAGAAAGTCCCCTTTGTGGGCTGTAGCTTGGCTCACTCAGTCTCTTATCAGTCCCTCTGGCACTGGAAATACCACAGGCCAGGCCAGGCCCTGGTGGGCCACAGGTGTGAGCTGCCAGTGCTGTTCTGGGTGTTCAGTCCAGAGCAGGTTTAAACAGGTCCAAAGAAAAATAAAAACCTCAGTCCAGGGAACTTCTCTGCCTCAGCTAGCTAAAAACTAAAAGCAAAAGAGAGCTCTGTCCTGACGTCTGTTCATCCACAGACAACACAGGAGCAGGAATGTGGAGGAGTGAGTGCAGTTTTTCTTCTTCTCCCCCCTTCACTCTCAAAACCAATCTTAAAGGTGCAAAACTTATTTCTGGGCTAAACAGACAAATGGGGAGATGAGCATCATAAAGTCACCCCAGGACACCCTACCTCTTCTTAGGAAGAAATTCTTCCCTGTGAGGGTGGTGAGGCCAAGGCACAGGTTGACCAGAGAACCTGTGGCTGCCCCATCCCTGAAAGTGTTCAAGGCCAGGTTGGACAGGGCTTGGAGCAACCTGGTCTAGTGGAAGATGTCCCTGCCCATGGCAGGGAGGGGAATGAGAGGATCTTTAATGTCCCTTCCAACCTAAACCATTCTGTGATTCTATGATAACAACTCTTCTATGAATGTGAAAAGCATTTGTGATTAAATTTTGGAAGTAAACAGAAATGCATCAATCATTTTTTTCATCATAGCTAGCATAAGAATAGGAGAAACCCTAGAAAATAAGTATGTCATCCTTTTCTATTTATATTCCTCCTCCACTCCTGTTCCACAGTAATATGCCCAAGAATGGGAAGAAGGAAACAAAACTGACAGCATAAAAAAGTCAGTCCCAAAGTGACAGGACTAAAAGCTGAAATATTCAGTGACCATTATGTTCCATGAGCATAACAGAAAAGTTACTGGGAGAAAGAAGCTTTAACAGATCTTCCCTCCTGTAAAGCTATATATGTTATATCATGCTATTTGTAAAGATGCAAGGATCTTTTAGATATCCTTTATCTCCAGTATCTTGTTTCAAAAGCAGTATCTAATAAGTTATGGAAGAACAGGGAGTCACCTAAACTGTTTTTTTACTGCTGTTGTCTCCAATTGTCTTTCCCTGAAGAGGAAGCCATCATCCATAAGAAACAAAGGAATGTACATCAAATTCTTTGCTAAAGTATACTGTTATGAATACACGCATAAAAACAAGCAGGCCACATCTGATTTGCTTGATGTATTCTAATTTACACCAGATACTCAGACTGAGTAAAATGTAAGATTTTATCTTATAAAGAGTTTTCTAACACAGATTTAAAAAATCCAAACTAAACCAGTATAGCATGTCTGCTGGAATGCAGATACATAAACTAAAATGAAAAATTAATCTCCATGAGGTACCAAGCTGACATGCTAAATTTAAAAGACAAAGAGTCAATTTTGGTAACTAAACATTATCTGCAGTTGGTTTTTCAACAAAGAGAGGCTGACGAAATTTTGACAGAAAGGCTGCTAAGGAAAAAAGTAGGCTAAAAACCATGCTACTCGGAACTCAACATTACTCTTAAGCACAGACTGAAAATCAGCAGCAGGTTTTGGGTTTTTTTTCCTTTATTCTTTTGGAACAAAGGAAAAGAAAAAAACAACTCAAAGTTGCAGGATCAAGTTTATACTTCCTGAAGGTAAAGCAGACTCTTCCATTAAACTAGGATGGATTGAATACAGATGTGAACTTGTTCTTAAATAAATGTTCCTTTCTCAGAACATTACAGGACAGCATGAGGTGAAAAAAGACCCCAAAACATAACCACACTCTTTTTATCCCCTTATTATTACTGCAAGTGTCCATGGCATATGAAAATGCACACAAAATTGATTAAAAGCAATCTACCTCTAAGTTCGGTCAGAATATCAATTTTTTGCTCTAGAATTGCTTCAAGTTGGGTTGCATAAGAATCCACATCATAGTCTACTTCTTCTGTCATCTCAAGAAGAGCTTTTTCATGTTCCAGCCATCTAATAGATTCCTAGGTAAAAGTTAAAAAACCTCAACTAAATACATTAACAAAGTTTCAATGCAAGTTTCAAGACAATTCATGAGCTGAATTATTCCTTTTCTCAAGATGATCACACTTTTACTGTCTAGTCACCTCACTATAATGTTTAAATCCTAAAATGAATCCTTATTCCTAATTTAGCAAAATTGTATGTTTTCTACATAGTTTCTTAACTCCAATGGTCATAACAGCAACAGACAAATCCCAGCTACCCCAGTTCTCTTCAAATTCAGAAAATTAGGTGGTTGTAAAACTAAGAAATTAAGAACTTTATTTCATGGATATGTGCTCTTAGGTAGGTATCAAACTTTGAAGCCAGATTTCATTTTTAAGTATGGGCTGGTTGCCACTGACAATAATCATAATCATTGTTGTGTCATTGCGGTCAAGGAGCCAAAATAATTCTGTCCATACTCAAAACCAGTTTTGCCAGAAACTGTATAAAAGAAGAGCTAACTCTCCGGACAGATAAGAGTACTGTAAAAGATGGTTAAAGCAGATCTATGCAAAGCTGTGATTAGACGAACTGATGTCCTTGGAAATGCTTTGATTAAAAATAAAGTAAGCAGATGACAGTTCTATGCATGCTGAGCCTGAAATACTGAAATTAAGTCTCCCTCTGTGCTCAGTAGTTCAAGTAATATTGAAAGCATAGTCCAAACACCATAAAAGTTTTGTTGGCTTTCAGGACAGATGGAGCTCTCACACTGGGATAGGATTTACGCCATCTAACGTAAACTTAGATATCCAAGAAACAAAGGAAGATCAAGACGTCCAGAGTACAGTTAATTCAGTTAATCTACTTTAGAGATTTTTTTGTTAGGATGGGATGTTTTGTACCCCAAAATCAACAGCTTCCAGGTAAAATCAGACAGAAGACAACTTCTGCATGTTACAGCTTGTATATTTTATATTCGTGCAACCCATCTTCACCCATGGCATAAACTAACAAGTAATGCTGCAAATGAAAGTCACTTGAGACTCAGACACATTTCCTTCTAATGACTGCTGTGAGGAGCAGTAATCTCCAGCATAAGGCCAGATGGACACACAGAGGCAGTAACATCTTAACCTAATTCAGTTTGTCTCTCCAGAAGTTGCAAGTATTAGGACACAGCTATGGCATATGGCATGACTTTCATACTTCTGCATGCTTTACTTCAGGGTTAATGTTTCAAAATAACTAAATATCTACATCTGTTGTAAAATGTGTTATTTAGCATCATTACTGTATTACATGAACACATATCAATATTCCACTGAGTTACATACCTAAATTGAGATGTGTTTTATTGGTTTGGCACGGCCTGGTTTTTGGCAGCAGGGGGGGCCACAAAGATGTCTCCTGTGAGGAGTTGCTGGAAGCTTCCACCATGTCCAGCAGAGCCAATGTCTGATGGCTCTGAAGATGGACATGCTGCTGGCCAAAACTGGGCCAATGAGAGGGATTGTTAATGCCTCTGCGATGACATATTTAAGAAGAAAATCAAAACAAAGTCACGGGGTTTTACTTCTAGTCAGAGAAGAGGAGGAGGTGAGAATATGTGAAAGAAAACAAAATGGTGACACCAAGGTGGGTGGAGAAGGAGGGGAAAGAGGCACTCCAGGCGCCAGAGTCGAGATTCCTCTGCAGGCCATGGTGAAGACCATGGTGAAGCAGGTTGTGCCCCTGCAGCCCATGAGGATCCACGGGGCATGCAGAGATCCACTCACAGCCCTGGGCAGGAGGTGCCCATGCCAGAGAGGGTGGATGACTGGAGAAGGCTGTGATCCAGTGGAAAATCCGGTGGAGAGAGGGGGCCCCTGCTTCCAGGCTGGAGCAGCCTGTCCTTGGAGGACTGCACCCCATGGAAAGAGAGACCCACGTGGCAGCAGTTTTAGGAGGACTGTGTGCCTGTGGAGAGGAGTTCACATTGCAGCAGGTGCAGTATGGCTGCTGTTCATGAGAGTGGACCCACACCAGAGAAGTTCATGGAGAACTGTCTCCTGTGGGAGGGACCCCACAGTCTCTCAGGAGAAGGACTCCTCTCCCAGAGCAGCGGAAGAAAATCTTGGTGATGAACTGACCAAAACCCCAATACCCTGTCTCCCTGTGATGTTGGTGGGAAGGAAGGAGGGAATGGGGGGAAAACGGCGTTTTAAGGGCTAATTTTACTTCTCATATTCCTCCTCTGAATCTGTTAGTAATAAAATTCACTTTGCAACTTAAGTTGAGCCTGGTTTGCCCTTGAAATATTTCTCCCAGTCCTTATCTCACTCATTAACTGTTTGTTAATTTTTTCCCCTCCTCTGCCCAGCTGTGGCAGGAGAGGGTGAGCAAGCGACTCTCGTGGGTGCCTGGCATTGGGCCAGTCTCAAACCATGACGTGTGTATTCCCTCTAGGTTTAATGTTTTACTATTTTCTTGTAGCAGATGCTCCAAATGGACAGCCTGACTAAAGATTCTAAGGTTATGAACCAAAACAACTCACATTTCCTTCTGAAAACTAGCAACTCATACATATTAGAATTTATTTTGCAACTATAAAAGGTTCTGTGGTGCTGATCAGCATTACACTATGTGGTCAGTATTCCTTTCAATGACCCTGACTAGTATCAAATGAAAACTTTATGTATCTGCAAAAAGGAAGAAAACAGGCACTTAGAAATATATTTGTTTCTTCTGGATCTCAGTATCTCAGAGAAACATGTCACAGAAGGATATTTAAAGAAAATACTACGAGGGAGTATTGCTGTATTTTAGAGGGAGATGACCACACAGAAATGGTGCTGATAGGGACATTACTATATAGACACATTAGTATTAATTGCCAGCTTTGGCATTGGAATACTGGAGTAGACTAGACAGTGAAATTGAAAATTTTGAGACCAATCTGAGTAAGCACCCTACAACTAGAAAGAAACAGTTACTAATGCTGGAAAAGGACTAACGCAAAATATATAGTAAATAGCTGAAATAGTAAAAAAGAAAATAGCAACTTTTCTTGCAATAAAGACAGTCTGTTTAGGAAATCTCTGAAAGCAGCAGAATGACCAGATGATATCCTACATCTTCAAGAGTATGCACTTTTATTGGCAAAACCGGAATTCTAGTATTAGGATAAAACAAGGTAGGGTCCATCTTTTACCTGGAAGACAGCCCTGTGGTCTTCTACTACTTGCTCTTCCATTTCCACCATTTGTGACACAGCTTCATGGAAAGTAAACAACTGTGGAGAAACTTCCTCTTCCTAAAAACAATAGTTAAGCCTGTTAGACTCAAAAGAACTGTGGCTACACAAAATATATTGAATATAATCATAGATCATGAAAAGAAATGTGCATAAAGCAGAACCTGTCAAAAATAAAACTTAATACTTTCTAACAAGAAAATATCCAGAAATGAGTGGACAGAGCAATAAATTTAAACTGTTCAAAGAGTTAAATTTAATTCATATTCATAAAAAATTTCCAGCCACTAATCCTAATGGATACTGGAAAACAGAATATTCCCCATGAAAAAAAACCCAGGTTAAAATAGTGGGAGGAGGAATTAATAAGGGAAGAATGTTAATTTCTAGTAGGTTTTAATAAGAAAACTTGCTTTCTGTCAGGAATTTTTGTTGTGCCAATTTTCAAAAAAGAGAACAGCAATTACATTCAATGCATTTCAAGAAAACAAAATTAAATTAACCCTTTGGAAAAAAAGTGTAATAAACGTAAAGTAAAAAAATAAAATATGTTGTGATTAATACATTAGAAAAATGCACAACTCAGATTTACAAACTGCGACAAACAAGAGTTCTTTAAACATAAATAGTTAATCACAATAAAAGGGGAAAGCACTAGGTAGGCTGCAATTAATGTTTTAGCAAAACAGTATGGTTCCTTCTACCATGCTTTTAAAATCTTTTTAAAAACACATTGAAAAGCGTGATTGAATTCCACATGAACAAGGAAAAAGTATGATATGAAAGGATATCTGGCTGTAAGTACTGTTCGGTGGGAAGCTCTAGGAATCACTAGCATGTTCTTATAAAATGAAGTCCAGGAAGAAGAGACAGCTATTAAAATGAGATATACAGCCAACACCATATAGAGGTGCTTGAAAAGGCAGAGAGTCTGGACAAAATAATTTAGGGTAGTAAGGATTTTTCTTCTGTACCTTTCATCAGCATTTTCACAAACCAACTTGAACATTTAAGGAACCAGGACTAGAGCTGATAATCAGTAGTGAGGGAAAAAAAATGCCCTTTATAAGGTGCCTCTCAATCCCAGCTCTCCATTCATGCAGCCCAAGGAGACATCCTGGGAACATGATGTGGCTTTCTCTCAAACATCGCTCTGGGGCTTCACTCCATGAAAATCGGGATGTTGGGAAGAGGAATGATGGGTAGCCAGATTTCTAAACACGGAGAAAGACAAACTCGCTCGAAACAGGGTTCCATGCAGGAAAAATAATGGTCAAACCACAGGAGTGTTAAATAAAATGGATGCATTTCCCAGGCTACTTCTAACTATCTAATATGAGATAAAACTATACTGGAAAAATGCACACTAAAAATGTGAGAGCCTAGAACAGACCCTGCCTAGATATTACAAGTCATAATCAGCAAGGAAGATAAGGAAAAGTAAAACATTCTTCTCTCACCATTCAGGAAACTTTTTTTTTTGTGTATATGGGAATGAACATAATAGCATAAAGTGAAAAGGTGAAAAGGCATGCTGTATCTACTAAATGATATTGCTAACAGACTATAAATGCACATTACTCTGGATTTGTTTTGCCGCTGTATTATCACCGCTTTCCATGCAATGCTGTAAACCACTCACATTTTGTTTCCAAAGCAGTTTGAGATCATCTCTCTGAGGAGAACTCCCCACATCCCACTGTGTCTCTAAGTCATCAATCTGATTGGGAGCATGGTGTATAATAGGTGAGATATCTCCTGCAACACTAGGATCAACCATCAACTCCTTCACCCTACATTCAGAAAATATTTAAATTGTAAATTAGTAACTTCCTGTTCAAAAGAGTCACAACCAAAAATAAAGCTCATTTATGCACAATTTATTTCATTTAATAAGGATGCTGATTTTAGCTTCACAAATTTAATGTACTTTCAGTGACAAAAAGATGTTAGTTCAACTCCTAAAAAGCACAGACTTTCAACTATTTGCAGGTGGATTGCAGTCCATCTTCTCACAAGAGGCATTTTGATTGAAATCTTAGTACTTATTAACTGTTAAGAGGGCAAAAATGTCCAGACCCTCAATATTAACTCCTCAATAAGGAATAATATTTGAAAGAAAAGTTCATTCAGCATCTTAAACTTGACCATTGTTTTTTATCTGTGCACACAATTGTTCTTTAAAAATATTAGTCAATCAGTACCCTACTAGATGTTATAAGCAAATCCACCAAGAATTTTGAAGAAAATAATAACTTGCAGCCAACTATCTCAGAGAATGAATAGATCCTTTTATTAAAATAATTTAAAAGGTGAAAATATATTATTAAAATGTAAGGTTCTTGCAGCATGAAAATAGTTTAAAGATGATAATGATTCTATCAAAAAAAGGCCCATTTAAAAGAACGCTTATGAAATAGACATCAAATTCTGCAAGTATAGCAAGTTTTAGAACAAATTCTTAATTTTTAAGAGGAATTTCTTTTTGAAGTAGCACATATTTAGTACAATGGAAACTATATTTCATTCATCTTTTCAATGATTAAAAGTTTTTAAAATATATATGTATTAAAATGGTTTTCTTTTTAAATTATTTATATTCAAATTACCCTAAACACAGACTGATCAGATTTGGTCTGCTAATGTATGAAGGAGACATAATTTCTTTTTTTTTTTTTTTAATGTATGAAGGAAACTAGCAAGCCTGGATACAGAATGTGGTCTTGTGAACAAAATAATGGAAAGATGATTGCAGATCATGCAGAACCATCACCTGACAAACAAAATAAAAACAAAGTATGTGTGACTCAAGGAAAGGGGACTAATGAAAGGTTTGTCTGTAAAATTGCATTGCCAAAAAGAAAATTAAAAAATAAACATTCTGTATATAGAATGAAGCAGACCTGGTGATTGAAGGAGAAAAGTCATCATACTCATAGGAAGGAGAGAGATCAGAGCGACTGCCACTACCCTGTGAGAAGGGAATGTCTGAAGGACTAATTCCAAATTCCTTTACTCTGCAGCCACAAAATACAGCAGCAAATTAAAAGAAAATTATCTCAAACACAGTTAAAATAACTGTTTTGCATTCTTTAATAGTTTAACAATAAAATTATTTTTACAATAAAAAAGAAGACTGTTGACATATTTAAATCTTCTGCAAATGGTTACGGATCACTAACAAAATTGAACAATATCAGTGCTGGTAATTTGCAGGAGACTATAATAGCAGTGTTTTCAGAAGAGTAACTCCAGATTTCAGGTTTTGCAGTTAATAAAATTTGCTCTACATTCAGTATTTCATTAAACTGATCCTTTTAACATATCAAACCACTACAGTGCCTTAAATTCTATACTGCACCATCTGACACTGCACAGACACTGGTGTTCAGCACTTGAAAACTACTTACTTGTCCTATGAAAACTATATATTGGTAGAAAAAATTAAAATACTACACAAAACATATGAAGCAACTTTACAGCGATAGGCATAAAAAATTAACTCTACCCCAGCCAAAACCAGCACAACCCCCTAACAACATATGAATTTAACAGCAAGGGGTAGAAACAGTTTCTGCACACCAATTTAGCATACTAGGAATAGGTATTTGTTTTTCAGTGTCCATTTCTGAAGTCACTTCAGCAATACATATTCTATAAGGGATAGAAAGATACAACTAGTTTTGATTGATGTGACACATCCTTCATTATGTTACTGTAAGCAGGGGACTAGATGCCCCCTTCTCACCAGGAAGGGAATCACATAGACTGGTTCAAGCCAGGTGGATTTGCTACTACCTTGATCTAAACAGAAAGATATTTGGATACCAAGAGGAACGGATGATAAGTTACCCTAGCAGCCCTTTGTGCCCGATTAATGACTGGCTGCAGGGAGGGGGTAGGGGAAGCAAAACAGGAGAAGATGTGGTTCTGCCCTATCTTTCACTGGGGCAAGCAGACCACTTGGTGGTAGCTTCTTCTGGCAAAACCAGGCTTTCTGATGGCCCGGAAACTTGTTTGCCTCCTTTGTTCTTTGCAGCAAAGTGGTGGATGGGTCTCTGGGGTGCAAGGTCTGATTGCAGGCATATGCAGGACCCAATCTCCCCAAAGATTAATCATAGAACTGCAGCTGTGGAAGGCTCCTTTCACACTGACTGAAGAGACAAACACTTTCAGAGAGCAGTACAGGTCTCAAAGATGATGCATCAGGCTCTGGAGGCACTAACTTCTTCTCCACTGATTATGTCACTGTTTGATTAGCTGACTGTATTTAGGGGTCTCAGATATTTGCCAGAAGTTGGGAAATATAAAATTTAGGCCACAGAAACTGCTGAATTTTCATAAGAATAAGCTAGTTGATATAGATCTATATATGATGTGATATATCATATATATAAAAGAAACATGCTGGCAACTGAATGCAATTCCACCAAGGGGATGAAAAATCACATTGCAGAAAGGTATTTCAGCTAACGCCCCAGGGAATCATCATGAAAACTGCCTACCCCTAATGCAAGAGGTGATACATCCAGAGCAGGGATAAAACTAAAAGAGGCATCTCCCAGATTCCTTGCAATCCCCACTATATCAATTTCTGGATATGGCTAAAATGCGGTTTCTATTGATTCTCTTGTAATGGTTGCAAAAAGTTACAAATTTAATTAAATGTGAGCCTGAATCAGTAATCAGTATTTTGAGGTAAATCTTATTAAGAAATGCAAGTACACTAAAATTATTCAAGTAGTTAAAATAATTATACATTATGGAACAGTAATATTCCAAATATCAGCGACCATCAGCCAATAAAGCAATAACATTTTCCATACCTATTTGCATATCTCAATGTATTTAGTGTGTTTTCGCATGATGCTATCCCTGGAGAAATTGTAGCAATCTAGAGAAAACAAACCATGCATTAATAAATCACTTTGTACAGATGAAACAGTAGATTAATTTAAATTAATTTTTTATGTCCACTTTGATTTGAGATGTTCTACAAAAACTGTCTACTATGTACAACTGTCCTAATGTTCGAAATGATACAAAGTTTCAAATTTTTTTGTAACTTTAGTCAGTCTTGTTCGCCTTTGCCCTGGGGGAAGAGAACTGAGGTTTCTTTTCAAAGGACTGTTTCATCACTCAAGGTGTGATTAGCTTAACATCCCAAGAGACTGGGAGTAGCATAGAAGATACACAAAAGATAACAACCATTAATGACCATTATAACCATTAACGACCATAAACTCCAAACATCACCCGTGGCATGGTCAGAGACACCTGGTCCATAAAAGACTGATAAGAGAACCAAGGAATGAGGACTAAATTAGCATCAGAGCCGAAGAAATCCATAACTGATAAGAAACCAAATACTAAGAACTGTGAGACTTGGGACCAATGAACATTGAACCAATTAATTTCTCTGGGTTTTGACTGTATAAGTATGTGAAAAATCTAGTAAAGAGTCATGTGTCATTTAATGATTTTCTCTGCACACCCGGGCAATGTGTGGATGAAATTATTTCTGTTGCACATCCTGGCCAGAATAAATTAATGCCTCGATACTCTAACACTAAAAATGTGGGAAAGTTTTAGTTTTTCCCATAGTTTCAATGATACTAATAAAATGGCATCTCAAGAAGAGACACGTCAAGTCAAATCTTCAATTTAATTTTTTCAACCATACCTGAAATATTAGGAATCAAAGAAATTTCAATTTCCCCCATCTCACAGTCTTCCTAAATAATATGTAAATGAAAAACCCTAATTAAAAAAAAATAAGACTCCTCAAGGAGGGAAATATGCAACTCAGTAGAAAGTCAGTCTAATGTATCCTACAAACAATTACCAGATTATTGATCTATATATCTATATCTATCTATCTTTGTAGTCTGTTCAAGCAAATTGAGAGACCTATTTTGGCCAGCCTACAACTGTACTTAATAATACTAAAGATATACATGTTTATTTCTATAAGATTTTTTTTTCTGAACTGAATATTATCTGTAAATAATACTTAATAGCTCACTTCTTATGAAACCTAAGTGGTATGTAACAAAAGGTTAACCACAAGTAACATTGTAACAAGATGTGCAAGTAAAGCAAGCACGACAACAAATAAGAGATGACAAGTGAGATAACAAGTGCCATCAAAAGCAAGATAGCAAGTTTTAATGGAACTTGCAAACTGCAAAATTAGCTAAAAACAAGTTAGATTGAAAAACAAGAAGCACCAGGCATGTGCTGAAGATAGAGGTAAAAAGTTCAAATGTGAGGAAGACTACAGAAGTCTTTCATTTTCCAGTTAAATAAAATACCCTAAAGATCTCACCCTCTTTTCAGCATTCAGCAAAAATAACTGGTCAGGCATTATTTGCACTAGCTTCTCTCATTAGTCCAATTTTCTCATCTGTGCTCCTTTCAGGAGATCCATAAAGGCTCTACCCAGGACAAACACCTCTATGATCCTACACACTAACATTTTTTTTTGGCAGCACAGAATCAGGAGACAAACTGATGAATATTAGATAATGCTTGTGCTGGGGGTTAGGTTTATTAAGAAAATTTTTTTCCCATTTGTTGTAATGGAAATGAAAAATGAACCTCATTAAGAGACAAAAAGTGCAGCTAGGGCCTTGGCATACCATTGGAATGGTTCTGGGGGAGCAGGTGACATGGTGGGGTTTTTTGGCAGTTCCTTAGCAGGGTGTGGTGCAGTCTTTGCTGGCTTGTAGGGCAGACGGTTGTTGGTTTTGGTGCTAGACTTCTGCCCAGGGGACTTGCTGCTTCTGCTGAGCCTTCCTTGCTGTTTCTTCTTGCTGTTGGTAAGCCAGAAGAGTGGCCGTTTGACTGGGACTTTTCGGCACCCATCCTTGCTGGGAGAGACCCTCACCATCTGCATGGGTGCTTCAGGGCAAAACTGGTCCCCCACCTCCTTCCTCTCTCCAGAAGGAACACCTCCCATCTGCTTACTGGAGCCTCAGCTGCTGCTGCCATCACCAGAACACTGCACAGGAGATGTGAGAGCCAGGGGAAAACCAAAACACACCTCACCCTCCACCTTCTCTCTCTCCCTCGGGCCGCCATTACCCCCTGGGGAGGCTCAGAGCTTGTGGCAGCTGCCCTCTGAAGCTGCCTGAGCAAACAGCGCCCACTGGAGCCACAGGGGGTTCACTGCAGCCTCTCTGCCTTAACACCAGCCATCAGCGCCCCTTGCCAGTTGTGATCGTAACTACACCAAAGGGGAAATTGCTTGATGGGCAGAATAAAGGCTGTTATTGGGCTTTTTTTTCTGTTTTGTTGTTACCATTGTCATTGTTGTTTGTCTGCCTTGTTTTATATATATTGTGGTGGAATTGTATGGGAGGCATTCACGGAAGTGATGCAAAGTTTCCAGCCACTGAAAAGCTGTACAAGCCTGTGTGAAAAATACATGTTAAAGACAAAAGAAACCAGGGAACTTCCTCTTTCCCTTCTGGCTGTCAACCAAGTAATATGGCCGGCCTGGCCCCAGACTCAGCCAGGCCAGGGTCAGGCAGCCCCTGCCATGGGCCCAGGACCCCCCCATCAACTGCCGGGTGGGGAGAGGGGAGTGCCACGGGACCAGGCTGGGCCATGGCTGTGATTGCTAACATCTTACCACCAGCCTGGGGCCAAGCCGAGTCCAGGAGAATCCCTGGCCAGGCTGGCTCAGCCAAGATTCTACCACCGTTGAAATTCATCCGCAACCAGTGGGCAGGGGAGAGGAGAAAACCATCAATCCCCCCCAGCTGAAGTTCCTGCCACAAGCTACCAAGCCCGGCCGGGGTCAGGTGACCATCTACAGGCCCCAGGTGAGATATTAACTCTTTCAGTTCTTCAATCCTCCCTCGAGTGAGAGAAAAGAACAAAATACAGGTAATATAGAAGGACAACATAAAAACACTGAAGTCAGTGAAGAAGAAGTCAAATCCCAGATGGGAGGGATGAGGAGATACCTTAATCTTAGGGCTGAAATCCTCTTGTAAAACTATAGCGAAAAGACTCTTTTCCCTATAACACATGAAGGTATAGGGAGATGAAAGTGTTCAAATTATAGATATCGAACAAAGGCCTCCATACTAAGTAAACAAATGTTAAAGTAGCTGTGATCCTATGAGAAGTTTGACAATGAAGGAGAGAAGAGTAATGAAAATCCTATACCCCCAAGAAAAAGGTGATTTTAGAGATAGATAATGAGAACCTTTACCTTTGAACAACTCATCTTTAAAACAGTACCCCATAAGTTAACATAGCCCATAAACACAGCTATAAGAAAAGCTTATGGAAAATGGGAGGGATTTCATGATTACAGATTTCCCTGGGTGGCTACTATCCGTGAGAATTGAGAACCATGAAAGAACTATTTTCTTGTGGAGAAGTCTCCATAACATTAACAAGAGGGACTTCCCTCCCTAAGTGAACTGAAGAAAGACTATTCTATTGGTAGTAAACTGACTGAAATTTTAAGTTTTGTTTCTTTACATTTTCTTTGGGAAAAAAAAAGGTTGTAGGTAGAGGAGAAGTGTCCTGAAGATTTTATTTTGATTCTTACTAATTTTTCTTTTAATTATTAAAATAAATTTCTCTTCATACCCTTTTGAAGTTTTGAGCCTACTTTACCTTTCTCCTAGTCCTACCTCACAACAAGAAATAGGTCAGTACGTCCTAATAAATACACTAGTGATTGGCCAGCACTGAACCCCCCACACTCATTAGTACATTAGCTGAAAAATCTCAAATTAACAAACCAAAACCACAAACCAAAACCACTAATATATATATATGTATATTCTAGTAAGGAACTGTTATTCCTTTTCCCATGTCTTTGCCTGAAAGCCCAATAATTTCAAAGTTATAATTTGGAGGAAAGGGGGTAATATTTTTCCATTCCAGGAAGGTTCCTGCCTTCCTTGGCAGACACCTGTCTTAAACCAGGACACCTGCTCTCTTCATTCATACTGCTGCTGACATAAGTGTGCAAAAATCATCCTGAGAAGAATTTCTCCTACTGGGAGGAAAGGAAAAATATGCAGTGAGAGGGGATTAGAAAGTCTAAAGACCCTACTACCATGTAGACTAAAGTTTTAATCTTTAATACTATTATGCATTAGTTGCTAATGAAAATGTGTAGATTTAAAAATATCATGATTCCATGTTTTTCTATAAAGCATTCTGGGTGCTAATTAACTAAACCCCTAAAAGTTCCTAAAATCCTTCCAAAGTCATTTAACATGAAAGATGCATGCACCTCTTCCATCAGTTTAATCTTCAGAGTACATGATACATGGCAAATGTCATAACATCGGTGGACTGTTCCAACTTTTTGAAGAGTTTAAGGTACAGCTACTATAGGGAAGTGTCACTGTACGTGCTGTCAGACATAATGATACCCCCTTCAGGGCACAAGAACCCATGAATAAGACTCAGTCTGTAGAATAGAAATGTGCACTACATCATATATCCTCATGCCTCAACAAGTCCAGTCCCAGCAGGACAGGAGGACTACAATCTCTCCATCCCTTGCTTCCCCATTTGTAATTTCAAATGAGGATGGAAAAAGCAGCCCTATTTATGGACAGGAAGATCTTTAAGACATGTAATTATCCTTCTTCCTATTTTGAATGTTTCTGCATTGCTTATAAACCATCACAGTGGTATCAATGGTCCTTTTGGGACACTGAAGTCACCAAGTTCCCACTTTTTTTTCCCTGGAGAGCTGAGGGGTCTGGCACTCCAGCTATGGCTGAAGCATGTCAAGAATGCAGCATGTAAAGGATGCAGTACTGGTTAAAACATGAGACTATTCTCTTATCTACCTGTGTTGATCTTGGCTGGATACCAGGTGTCCACCAAAGCCACTCTATCACTCCCCTCCTT